CCACTCTTGGCGTTATGAATGTGCGCACCCGGACCCGGTCGGGACACGGGCGCGAATTTTGGGCACCGTTAAACGGTTAGCCGATTGCAAAGCATTTTCGGATGAGCTTTGTTGCATTTGCGGTATTTCTTCGTATTTGTATGAATTGCCCGACTGTGTATATAGATGAATTTTGGGCGGAAATCAATGCTGTGATTGAGGACCTTGGTATTCATCGGTTTCAACCCGACAACCTTAGCTTTCAGTCCGACCGCGTGGGCAATTGGCGCTTGAGGAAGACGCAAGAAAACATTGATCGATTTGTAAGCTACCTCGTCTCCCTCGTGAAGTTGTCGTACCACGCAAATGTCGTTGAAGCTTCCCGAGAGGCAATTGCCGCACTGAACAGGGTGAAACGGTTTCGTTACAGTTGGGAAACCGGCGAAACCGTCAAGGTCCCCGAATCGTATTTGCAGCTCATCAACGATTTTGCGGAGCTGCGTATGGCGAGATTTCAGCACACCGCGGGTCAAAGCAGACAGTTCACAATTGAAGAGATTCAGGCATTTAGCCCTTTTGAATCCAACGACGTGTCCGTCGACGAACTGCGAGCCTCTGTTAACCTGGAAGGCGAAGACCCACAAGATGTGCTACAATATGTCAACATCATTCCCCTCGTGGAGCTCCCGGAAGAGCAGGCCGCCTTGGACGAAGAGATGATCGAAGGCACCGCAGCCGACGTAAATGTCGAGCCGAAAGTGGAAGAGAGTGAGGAGAGCGCTGCTGTTCCGGATAGCAATATGGGGACCGATGATGCAGTACCTGGGCTTGCCACAACCTCCGTAGGCGTAAATGCCTTGCCATCAAAACCAGAACCAGATCAACATATGATGGAAATTGAGGCCCAGGTAGTGAAGCCATGGCCAATGAAGGTGATGAGGCAGACGCCCAAATGGCCCCTGAGGCAAGCAACGATCCTGTTCCAGGTCAGTCGACATCTTCCGCATCAAGGCCACCTTTACCTCGCTTGAGGGGAAAAGGACAGGGGCAGGGCACACCTGCACAGGCTCCCGTAACGGGGAGCTTCCTGCAACCGGAGGGCGTCGACGATTCCGACCTGAAGTTTTCCGGATAGGGGAAGGGTAGACTCATTCGTGAGATCAAGCCCGACCCTGAGTACAAAAACATGCAGGTTGAAATCGAAGAGGTCCTTGGCAAGTCTCCTTACCCGGATCACCTTTTGAAGGCCATCGGCAATGGAAATATTCAATTTCTTGAAGAAGATTTGGGACGAAACGCAAAGCAATATACTCTGTACCACATCACAGGACACAGGTACTACTATGAGTATGAAGACAATCACGGCTTTCCGTCGGAGTGGGATTGTTCGTGGCCCAAACACATCCGTAGAGGGATTTCTGGATTGCTGAGGGGACACGTGAGGGATGTCTCGATCTATGATCCCGCTTGTTACCTTCCTGTGTACAAGTTATTGCCGCTTGCGAAGAACAAGTTTCCCGACTATGCAGATCGCATCAATCTTTATGAGTTAATTTCAATGGCGATTTATGATGAGAAAGATCGCGTTGAATTTCTATGCGTATATGAATCAAAGATCAACGAAGAGCTGGAGCTCTGGGCGGCGCCGGTCAAGGTCCGATGTGGACAGGGCCACACGGATGACGTGTTGGAGACACGATCAAACGAAGTTCTAGCAACAATAATTTATTGCCGACCAGACCATGCCCACCGATACAATCGACGACTCACAGCTCATGGCAACCGCGATATCCCTCCTCGACTGTACCACAGGACGCACGAGGAGGCGGCGCGATCTATCATTGCAAACGGACTACTTCCTGGAGGAGGAGCCGGCGGACCCAAGAGCAAGGGTAACTCCTTTTTCTCCATACTACCTCTGGGAGACCAGAAGGCGATGTCAGGTGTCCGTGCAAATCGTCCCGTCGAAATTTGTTTCTCTACAGCAGAAATCATCGAGGCGGGCGTTGACCTATTCTTGACGAACTCGAATGCAATGATTACAAGTCATCGTGTTCCCAACGCGTGTATCTTGTTCGCTACACGCGCCCGCGTAAATGCGGAGCCTGAAGTGTTCTACTCAAGGCCACAAGCTATTGATCCAGCAAACATTGAGGTTGGGCTCAACAGGACGACGTCAGTTTGATCCCGGGTGAAATTTCAGAAGCGCGTACCGTGTTGGGAGGCATCAATGAAACGACACCTGAGGAGCGTACAGCTGCCAGCAGCGCCATCAAGAAAGAGACCATGGAGGCCAGCCACGATACCGCAGTCCCTCGAATCGAGAGCGGGTACTTCCTCCTCCACCTCCGCACATTCAGCTGCGACAAGTGCACAACCCTTTCCTTAGCAGGAATGGCATCATGTCACAGGTGCGGAGCAGTCTTTCAGGGTGGTTCAACTGATGGTCCTATTTCCAAATTCGAAGACGGTGCAACAGCAGGGGGGTGTTCCCACCAATATGACATCCACCAGCATGCTTGACAGCATTGCCGGACAAGACATGCAACCAGGTCGTCCTCCTGCTCGTGGTCCCTCGGTTGATAGTCAAATTATCCTTTCTGCACGAGGCCGTCTTCGCCGAGCATTGCAAGCTGGGTATGAAAATGTTTATGATCGGTCCAACCGCGACGATGTCTTCGCCACCTCCTTAACCGGAGAGGGACGCACTGCATTTGATGCAGCTGCAGGAAGACTTGTTTGCGTCGCTGCAACTGCCAGCGCCTTCTCGATCTGCCAAACAGCGATCAAAAGGGAAATCAGTTGTCAGCGATTTGGACCGACAGGATAGGGTCGACCTTGCCAAGCTCGCGTACATTCGATGCGGCGTCGACAATCTTCATACCTGTTTCAAGCAAGGGCTCGATGAGAATTTTCTCATTAGCTATCGTCGTGAATTTTTGTCCCTTCGACAATTCGCTGCCGTAATTGGCAACAGCCGAGACGAGCTCAAGATCCAGGGTTTCATTCCCACGGACGACATCTACGGTGATATTCATTGCATCCGCATACCTCGTGGAGACACGATGGGCATTTTTTACAAGATTTTGAGTGAATTTGCGGAACAGAATGAACATTTTGCCAATTTGCAATACCAGCGGAATGCCCAGCAGTCAGCAAATATGCAGGAGCGAGACCGCGGGCAGTCGATTGGGCAAATGGGATTTATGAACATTGAACAGCGCATGGCAACGCCTATTCCAAAATTTGCGGATTGCGGTCAGGATATGACTTCGTATGAAGTTTTGCGATTGGAACAGCTATTGCTGGAATTCGGTCAGCGAGATTCTCCATCTCCTCAGGCGCCTGTAAATAGGCCGCCATTGACACGAAAGCGTCCGCAGTCTTACAATGAAGGCGTTGATGATGCTGATAAAAGACCAAGATTACAGTGGAGGAAGAAAGAAGATCGAGACCAATCTGGCCGCTTCGCAGCATGGACTGATGATAGGATTCCTCCGCCTGGTGTGCCGAAACCACCAGCTCCCGTAACTGGGATGCATACGTCGTCGGTGTACAGGCCACCGCAACCTCCTGCTCAAGAATCAGCGTCTCCAAAGGAAGACTTCCCTAAACGGAATGTCAACGCAGAACAGAATGTTGCTCCCAAGGGCAAAGGCCGAAGCGGTTCCACCACAGAAGGATCTACAGCTCCCGCAAAAGGGAGGCCGTGCGATGTCTTTCCTCCCTGAGGACAGGGCGCCCAGAAGAGGCAACGTCCCAAAGGACCTCCTTGGTCCGCCACTGCACACGCCACCGCCAGTCAAATCCCAAAGCCACCGAACTATCCACCACCACTGCCAATGAAACAAGCTCCTGTATCACCACCTCCACTTCCGGCGCCAGCTCATCCACCAATGACTGGTTTATCGCCGCCACCAAAACGGCAACCAATCCAGCAGAGGCCACCGCCGCCGAAGGTTCCACCCAATTCATCCAGCGGCGTTCCAGTTCACACCAGGCCAGCGGACTTCAACCTGACGCCGAAGCCGCCGCCACTTGCCGATCTTTGCAACCGGTTGCAACCTTCCGTAAAGGGAAAGGGCAAAGGCAAGCAACAAGGACATGTTTGAGAAGGTCCATATGAGGCACGACCATGGCATTTGTGCAATGTGCCGCCGCCACCGTTACCCTCAGGGGCTCCATCATCATCATCGTCATCGCATGCTCCCGTAACTGGGCAGCCTACGATGCGAGGTACAGATGAGCGACCGTTGGAACCTTTTGACTTTCCAGGGGTACAATGGCAGCGCACAGATCCATGGGCCGACAACTATTGGCCCAATCATATGGAACTTCGTCAATGGATGGAACAAGGTTGGCAGGATGATACAGAGCGATTTGGTTACAGGCATTATTGAAATGCATATGTTGAACAGCTACCATAACTGGTATGCCATACAGCCTATGAGTGTTGAGATGGGGATCACCTTCTGACCCGCAGTGAGATGATGTTTCACCATGTTGTCTCACGCGATAACGCATCCCTAAAAGGATTGCCTTAGTCGGAGAGTGAACTTTTAATCAATGCTCTATCTAGAACTGGGTCTAGCATGTATAACTACATGCCAAGTGAGCCGGTAGGTTGTACATTAGGGTAGCTACGTTCTCCTTGTATAGTGCATGCACGAGCTTGATGAGGGACTTCTAATATGATTCCTTCGTCGCTAGAATTTGAGCCTCCCGAGATTTTCCCTACGGGTAGCTCCTTGTAAAGGGGGGTGTTGAAATTCACCTCATCCCCATGGACCCCGTAGCGTGTACTCTCAAGGGTAGAGTAAAAGGTGCTTAACGGCTAGACAGGGTTAGTTAGGAAATCCGAGCTGATCCTGTAAAATACAGATGTAAAAGCAGACTTGCATTTCAGTATAGTGGGAACTCTAGAGTTGGATGAGCGCCAGGGCCACATGTTTCGGGTCAAGCGCTGGACCGCAAGATAACGCACTCCTTGGGATACTGGATTCAAGCCGGTCGCATCTGAGGAAGTCGGCTATCCAGCGCTCGGTGGGCTTTCAGCAGGTAGACCGACATGTGAGAAACGCCTTGGTCGACTGGATTGGCCAGGCAGTGCGACACCAATTCCAAGAGCTGGTTGAGGGAGCTGGTTGAGATCTCCCTGAGCTCGCATTAGATGTCAAAATCCAGCTCCGCACGAGCAACGCTCAATGATGTGTGCTTCAAAATTGTTTGTACTTGTACATTGTGAGAAGTGAATCACAATTTTCAATTTACTTCAGGCCGCAGCGAGTAATTTAGCTTCAGCATGTGCACAAGTCACATCAAAACAGTGCATTGGGAAAATTGGGTGTTCGGTGTTGGTGAAGTGTTGCGGGAGGACATATTTTGATTGTATTCTGGCAGCTCAGAGTTGAAACCGTTGGATTATTAGTCTGAACCTGAGTCCTACTACCAGATGGAAACATGACACAGTACCCCCCATGACCCACTGTGAAGCATCATTTCCAACCAGAAGACATGCATAAGCAATGCATTTTAGTGACCCCTGCAACATGTTTTTTTGAATCGACGATGGCATCTTTGGCTTCAGCATCTCCATCAGGAGACCCAAACCGACTACAACAAATCGGAACCAAGACCATTTGCAGTGATTCGCTGGCCACTTGAGGCTGATGCATTGCTGGTTGCATGAAATGGTGAATGGTGAATTGCGACTCGACTATTCAAAACATAGTACGGTACATGAACATCATAGTGATCAGCCTAGAATCCTACGTTCCATGAGCCTTTGGCGGCAACATGGCAACCCTTTGCGTGTCGAGAGGAACCCTTTGCGTTTCGTTTGTTTGATCATGTCAACAAGGGTCCCTTGGATCATCGGATCTCATGGCAATAAGGTACTTCTTTCAACCCCATTCATCAAGTGACCTCGGGGGGGGCCTCATGCCATGAGCCATGAGGCGACATGAGGTCGACAACGTGGGCGTCCCTTGTCGGATGAGTGTGACATTTCTTTGGAAGACGAAACCTCACGGCAACTGTGGCACACATGTTGCAGACAAGGTACCCAAGCCAACAGTAAGATCAGCTAGAAACGAAACGATTTTGACCTGTTTCCTGCTTCTTGAGGCCAAGGCCCACTGCAATGACCACCTTTTTTTGGTCCTCCCACGACCGCCTTTTTGGTCGCGCTGTCGCGCTGTGCCAGGTGACTGGCCCAAGGCGTCCGGTCCATGGCGGTGAGCGAGGCGTCGGTGGCTGGGGGCCTTTCTCCAGGCCCCGAGTTCTCAGGTTCTGCAAAAACACTTGTAGAATTGGTTTTTCATTTTATCCGTTCAAGAAGGGGTAACATCCAGGCAACTCTTGCTTGCTTCCTTGTTTTGGAGGCCCAGACAGATATCATGGTATCCCAAACATTATCCACTGGGATTCACCCATTGATTTGCAAAGTTGATCTTCCTCTCTTGCACCAACTGGTGGCAGCGTGCTTCCCGGGCTAGCACGCTTTAGGCTCAAAGGGGAGCACCCGTAGGAGCCCATCGGATGGTGTTTGAGGCCTCGGACGATGGGACGAAGCCACCCACCGTGGCTGCGTTGAAGACCTGCGACTACTTGGAGCTTCAGAACCAGGAGCCTGTGGCCTGTGTTCATGCCGACTGGTCAGAGAGGCTGCTGAAACGCAAGAAGTTGGAGGTTGGTGTCCTTTGCGAAGCACCCTTGCTCTTCGATGAACGAAATGCCAACGGGAGCAGAACGTGGAGGGACGCCAGTGGAAAAATTGTGGTGGCCAAGCGTGGAGAGGAAGAGTTCGAGGCCATGGCACGCCGTGCCGAGTCCTCCGGTGCAGTTGGGCTGGTGGTGGTCGACAACGAGGATGTCTTTGATGATGACTTTGAGATGGCATCGGAGGACCCCTATCGACCTCTCTCGGTTCCGGCCGTCTTGGCGCCCAAGGCCTGTGCCGAGCTGCTCTACGGCCGAGCCAAGGAAGCGCGGGTCGTACGAAGGTATCATCGCACGCCCTCACCCTCGGACGCACGGATGCTTCAGTTCTTGCGGATGAGAGGGGTGGAGGTCAATCTAAAGATGACGTGAGGACCGGACGCTCGCAGTGTTCGAGCATTTCATAGCATTTCTGTCGCCGGAAAAAGGGCATCCGAGTGTGATGCTGGGCCGGGCCTGCGTAGCTTTGCCGCCCATTCAGTTTCAGCAGCAAGATCCATGCGTGGTTGACAACACCATCCTGCTGAGAAACCCTTGGTCAACTGCAAGATACTGTCAGACGAATCCACCACAATCAGTTCAACTTGGAACGGCACAACACCGAATAGTTGACTTGCTGTAACTTACTATGATTTACCACCACCATCAAGTCACCACCCCCAACCCATTCGGAGCAGCGAGCCAGGACCCCAGGACCCCCCCCCCACCCCCACTTCGGTCCGACCCGTGAGCGTTCGTCGGTTCGTCCAGCGCCGCGCCGCGACCGCAGGGCCTGGAAGAACACCTTCCGCCGCGCCGCGACCGGCGCCGCTCGCCCGACGCCCGGGTCGACGTGGCGGGAAAGGGGAAGCTACAGTGGCCGCCTGGATGCCTGCGGGCCCCCGAAAAAAAGGGGGTAGTTCAAAAACAAGGAGAGAGTGCCAAACGGTGGTTGTCCTATAGTGACCTATAGGTGCAATCAACGATGGGGAGCTGTCCAGTCATGCCTCTGGTTGGCATTGGCACATTTGCTTGAGGCTGAAGCCCCATGTCGCCTTGTTGGGGCGGCGGAACTCCAAACCAACTCCGCAAGGCAGGGTGCCTCGGTGAATCTGGGCGACCTTGGAAGAGATTTTCCATTGAATCAGTGGTCGGCCATGACTCAGGTTGTATAAACATCTCGTAGACAACATGTAGACATCAGTGGGCTGGACATCATTATTCCCACTGAATGAGTGGGTTGGTTGTAGACATCGTTTTAGACAATGGCCTTCATCAAGCCTCGAGTCGGTCGGCCATCCAGCGCAGGCAAAGAAGCGAACCTCTTCGCCGAGGCCCGAAAACATAGCGGGCGGAGAGTCACCTGCTCCTCTTGTTATGCCGTTATAAAGATAATCAGCATAATTTCATAGTTTGCATCCATTGCTTCAGGATAAAGGACGACATTCTGGTCTTTCATGCGAAAGAAGGGCACGTCGACCAGGATCCCTTGCAGTTCCGTCGACCGGAGGGGACCGTGGAAGCTCGCTGCTCCCAGTGTGGTGATGGAGATGCCTGCAACAGGCGGGACAGCTGGGCCAGCTGGGCGCTGGGCTGTGCATTTTCGATTGGTATTGTAGAAGGGTGAGCTACATGTCGCTGGGTCGAGGCCCAAGAACCTCCCTCCCCAAACCCCAAAAATACCTTCCAGGTAGGGATCTTTGCTTCTTGCTTTCTTTTGATGGGGGGGGCTTGACTTCAACCATAGTCCCAGACAACCCACACGTCCGCAGATTCTGCTGGGGTGTTCTGTCGCAAGCCACTGCTTGGGGGGCACCAGCATTGGATCACTGAGTTTGTGGGTTCTTGCAAAGGATTACACGACAAGACAGTGGTGGGGGTGCAATTTTATTTATTACTGCTATATTTTTTCGATCAAGTGAACACATACAGTACACGTTACAAAATGACTTCTCATCATGATCCAACTTGATTAGTAACTTCTTCCTTCCTGGTGCTAGGGTCGGCCGAGGAATCCAGATTTCACTCCATGAGCGCCAGATGGCAGCTGACTGCTCTGTGTAGCGCGGAGCTTCGGTTTCCAAAAGCAGTTTAGCCAGGTGTGAACTCCAAGGTCCTCTGCAGCCGCAAGAGCCACAGGAGCTGATTGTGGCAGTTGTTCTTGAGAAATCAACTAGCAGCTTCTTGCTACTAGTAGCAATGGCCTCCAACCTACTAGCGATGGCCTCTAACCTAGTAGGTTCTAGAGAGTTGGGCGTTTTCACAGCTTTTTTGTGCTTTGACGCTTTTGATGCTTTTTTTCCTCGCTTCGGACAAGACACTCGGACAGCCTTGCCTCACTGCAAAATGATCCCATGGAATTGCTTTAGACAGCTTTGTCGCTAGAGCGCCAGATGCGGAGTAGTTGTAGCGCTCTGGCCCGGTCAGGCGCTGGTGGAACCACTTGCTCGGAAGCGCCCTGAAGGTGCGGTCCATCGGTACATCTTGATAGATCACTCCTTTCTGTCCTCTCAACGTTGTTATGTACATAATGAAATACATTAATAATATACAGTACTAGCAGTTTTTTAAAGTTCGGTTGTCGATCGTTTTAAGAACCTTCTTTTTCCTATCAGGAGTCCGGATCGCTTTCATACAAATTGTGTTGGTTTGGTTGATTGAATCTTTATCAGCACTGATGTTACAGCTTGAATGATTTGTTGTCCATCATTCCAGCCAAATTGTTCAGCTGCTTGAAGGAGGGCTTCCCCGAAGGAGGCGGGCTGTTTTCAGCGAGCGCTCAAGAAGCGAGCGCTCGAACATGACTTTCGGATGTACATCATCTTCACAGAGATCAGAAAAAATATGGAATGTTTCAATCATGTAACACCTTCTGTGCGCTTTTGTATAATGCAGGATGATTATATGATCTATAAATTAAGCTATAGAAAAGGTCGAAGTTGTTTTTTTCTTGCAGATTCTTGAAGATATTCTTCAAATTGGTGCTGCATGCAACAGGCAACAAAACATTCAGGTCGTCCAAGATTCGTTCCACTTCTAGGCGTAAGAAACCTGGCCTCCACTTCTTCACCTGGCATCGGTCCTGGCGTAACGCCCTTCCTCACCCGGCCGACTCTCCGGTCGAAGCCTCCCTCGGCGGACTCCTCAGACGGCCAGGACGGTGGACGCCCTTCGTGGAGCTTCGAATCTGCCGTGGAGACCCAGTGGATGCCCAGCGTCTCGCGACAGAGAGTCAGCGACGGGAGTCGCGGGTGTGGTACAGCGGTCGAAAGCGACGGGAGTCGCAGGTGAGAGAAAGCGAGCATCCACGCGGTATCTAAAGCTCGAGACTGTGAATCATGGTGACTTGTAACCAGTCAAGCTCACATGCTTCAGAGGTCTAGTGGAACTGCAAGAAGGATCCACTCTTGTTGGATGGTGTCTTTCTTTATCCTTTTTGTTTCTGACCCCGCAGTGGTCCCAGGCACAAAGCATTGCAGGGCTACCAGATGCGGCTTCAAGTTGTCGCCATCGAACTCTGGAAAGAGGCGATCAGTGGACCATGTTGGAGCGTGCCACCACTGTTATGGTAGGTTGATAACAAGCTGGTTGAAACACATTATATGCGTCAGAGCACTGGGTTGAGTAGCCAAGTTTTCTTTACTGTAAATGTTGCTGCATCATTCGCACTCCTTGCACGCTGCATTCTGATTCTCATTGTCTTGGCAGGCACTAATGGAGGAGGAGACGGAACGATCGTGTCACTGATCCATGGACGGCTGTGCTGCAAAGCCCCAAGTGAAATCTGCAGATCGATCTTGACCAAAGATTTGAGGGGCAAAGCCATGTTGCATGAGTGAGATTCCTGAAGGAACATGTTGGAGCCATGTTGTGACATGCCCTGATGTGATGAGCAAGTATTTAACAACGTCTCAATGATAGAACTGAGCTTCTTATGCTGAGAACATTGCCGGACTGACATGGGGCGGAAGCTGCTGAGCACTCAACATGAATGGTGTTGCTGGCGGACTGCTTTGTCCACCTTTGCGTGAAGAAAGGCCTTCGATGATGAGTATTGATGACAACGTCTCAATGATAGAGCTGAGCATGGAATGCTGTGCTGACACTTTTAGTCAAACTGATGAGGGCCGGCGAGAAAGTCGCTTGGGGCTTGATTGATTTTATTGATTTGGTCTTGGGAAGTGAGTATCTAGAATCCGGGCAGGGTAAGCCAGGTCCAGAGAAGCATGCTGACTTGCTGAATGCAGCTTCAGCATCCACACATGAGGAATTGCTGGCATTCTGGTTTGCACATGGTAATTCTATGGTGATGGTGGTGAGTGCAATGACAGTGTCGTTGCACAGCAGGAGCTGGCATGTCATGGTGACGGTGTCTTCTTTGTGCCCTTGTCGGATGGTCTTACCGGGACCGGTGTCAGAACCCTTGGCCTTGCACACTCATACACTGCACTTGACTCATTCTTGGCATTTTTGCGTCAGAGGGCCTCAGGATGAGCAACTATTTAACAACGTCTCAATGATAGAACTGAGTAGTGCATGCGGAGAATCTTGCCGGACTGATATGGGGCAGAAGCTGCTGAACATGAATTTTGCTGTCATGGCAGGTCTTGACAGATTGCTTTGACCATCATTGCATGTTTGAAGCCTCTTCACAAAGGGCCATCTATGATGATTATTGTCAATAAACGTCTCAATGATAGAACTGAGCATGGAATGCTGACAAGAATCAGGCTGATATGGCTGGCAACATGTGAATGGGGTCTTTGTGAATGTAAACGCAGATAGGCTCACCGACTTTGGTAATTTTGATTACACCCAAATACTATCCTTTTTGATCCATGGTGTCTTTACTCAACCCTATAGATCTCGAACTCGCTTCCACCTAGGGTGTATTTGTGTGTGTACTGCAGACAGAAAAAGCACTGCCAAAAGAAGGGTGCTTGAAGGCAAGGACACTCAGCTGCTGACCTGTCAGATTGCCGCTAGGGTTTTGTGCATCCTTCAGCTGACTGGTGCTTAGTAGAGAATGGGGGAATGACTCCTAAGGTATCTATAGTCTGAGGTCAGCCAACAGCCATCCTCATTCCCTGTTTTCATCCCAACAGGCAAGCCGCTGCTCCTTTTCTCGCTCGCAAGAGCAGAAGTAGAAGTCCAGACGTGCGGCATGTCTGTGTCTGTCGGGATGCCGAACATCCCGTTGCGCCTGTGCGGCCATGTATGGTTGGGAGAAACCCCTGTTTCAGAAACACCGTGCGATGCTTTGCAGTCCAGGAGCAAATTGGTCCATCCAACATTGAACTTGAGGCCGGGCTGTGTGGCTTTGATTGTAGCTCCATGTTCCAGCTAGTACCTACGTGGCTACTAGTGAGTGGAAGGAAACTGGATGGAAGAGATCCTCTTAATTACTTTCCACATTTCTGTTGAATTGGTTGAGTCGGTGGAGCATTTTGTAAGTGCAGTAAGCCAGACTCTCAGCTGCTCCCTTTGCAATCCAATCTTTGCTTGCTTCCTGGCTATTTCAATTGATTGAAAGGATGTCAACATGAAGCCTCATACATGTCCAACACCCTGGTTGCTTTTCTCTTTCATGTCTATGGCCTTGTCCAAGGCCTTTTTTGTTTGAACCCTTCTTATGCGGTGAAGCAGCTGCAGGCCTCCGACGTCCCAATGGGCTCCTTGTTGTGCTCCTTGTCCTCGGTGGAAGTCGCGGAGGACCTCGTCCCGTTCAACGGCGCTCGTTCGTGCCGGTGGCACCGGTGGCTGCGGAGAGCCGGACACTTTTGCGCCCTGTCACGCCTGGGAAGGTGGGTGAACAATCACAACAAGTGCCACGCTAGTAGTAACAGGTGCCTTACTAGTAGTAACAAAGAAGCTATTAGAAACAAGTGCCTTACTACTAGTAACAATAACAATTTAATTAGAATTCTAATTAATAGCTTCTTGTTACTACTAGTAAGGCACTTGTTACTACTAGCGAGGCACTTGTAATTACTACGCCTGGGAAGGTGGGTGAACAATCACACATCAAGCTTGGAATGCAGGATTCAGGCGCCCCCGGCTTCGGTGTACCTGTTTCAGACTTCACACGTCTCCGAACGCGGGATTTGGACAGTCTTCAGGCCCAAAACCGCTCAGTCGGGGACTAGAGTGGTCAGTCAAGAGCTCGTCGCTGGTGTCAGGAGGAGGAGGAGGAGGTGGAAGTCCATGGCTGTCGAAGTCCACAGCTCTCCCAAAGCTTCAGCCTCAGGTCGTGCCATTGTAGGTTTTCTTTACATAATTTTACATAACTGTTGCTGGATGGTCCACAAACATCCTGTTGTTGTTCGGCCGGTTCGGGACAAAGGTGGGAAGATGCTAAACGTATCTAAACGTAAGAGAGTAAGATGTCAATGTGTGGGGATCAAAACGAACAACTGCACGCTTCCGCAGTGAGCTGAAGTCACATTGAAAAGAGAGTGTTTTTGGCAAGTGCATCAACTCACCGTACCTTTTTTTCAGCCGGTGATGCACATCCCACCATGTCTGGTCGCTTGAAGAGACCAGCCAGTGGCCTCCAGATTTTCTGTCCATCGACCGAGGTCTGGAGAACGTGCATGAGCCCTGGACTTGGTCGATGGGAAAAGCACCCACCACGTGACACAGTCCTAAGTGGCATGGAAACGGAAGATCCATTGAACAAACCGCTGGGGCGGCTTTCAGGTCGGAAGGTTTGTGGTTTGCACATGGACATGACTAGTTGGAGGAACGCAGATATAGAGGTTTACCAATGGATCGGTGATACCAGAATCTTGATATCCAGTTGACTGGCTGAAGCTTTATAGGGGCTTTAAAAGCCAGAAGAGAGAGGGATAGAGGGTGATTGCAGCCATCCCAGGTCCGTCCTGACACAGCGCATTTTTCTTGCTAGGTGGCGACGGCGCAAGCACTTGGGCAGGACCAGTCCTTTGATCTACTGTAGATTCTGCTGGTGATTTCAAATGCAATAGATTTCTACCAGATAACAAGAAACAGTTGAGTTGAGGAGAAACAAGATCCCGATGCATTATGGCCATGTACAAAGTTGACTGGTTGAGCTCTGGGTCTTGGTCTTAACCCACAGCTCACAGAGGAAAATATCCTCCACACCCCACAGTCGCTGCCGTTACTGGAGGATTTGTATCGCTTGGCGGCGCCTGGCGGCCAGGCGCTTGGCACGGCGGCTCATCAACAAGGCCGAAATGTGGAAAGCCGTTCGAGCCCGTGAAACCTAGGAGCGATCAGACGCTACGAACGTAGCTCCTGGCGTAACAAAGGGCATCGCTACTAGGAGCATGGACGCTACTGGTAACAAGGGCATCGCTACTAGGAACAAGAAGCTACTAGGGGCTCCTGGCCTTACTGCTAGGAGCAAGGACGCTACTAGCGTATTTGCAGCCCTGTCAGACAGTGACGTTGGTGTGATGGTGAAGATCCCATGCCACGGCGGATGTGTTGGTGCTCTTCCTTGCAGGTTTGTATCCAATTCCATGCGCAGGCATCGGGAAGAGTGAAACGAAGAGAGGATTGCACAGCAAATAGTATAACACGAAAAACACCGAATACTGTACGAAAAGGGCCATATGGGACACTTTGAGCCTCTTCAGAAAGACATATCTGTCTTTTTTTTGTTCGTTTCCTGTGGGCTTTGCAAGAAAGGCTACTGCACCAGAGCATCTCGACTTCTGGGTCTTAAGCACCACACTGGAAGGCAGCTTCTTCTGTTTTGACAGGCTCAAACAACAGATCATGGCACAAGAGAAAGACCTGAGGGTCGACTTTTGTGATGATTGATGGGTGGGACAAAGACTTATAGACATTGGCCTGGCCTGCGGGGTCATCCCGGCATGGAGTGTGTTCAAGTCTTCCCAGGCAGGCTCTTGGATGTATTCATCCATATCCATCCATATCCATTGGCTTTCTGATTTCAGAGTGTAGACCCTCCACTTTTGCCACCTCCTGGCCGCCATGGTGCTTTCAGAACCAACCAGGAGCTACCCAGGCGGAACCGCACTGGTCACTTGGCGCCAGCGGTTCTGAGTGGAACTTCTCCTGAGCCACACAGTATGGCTATGTATGATGGCTAGGCTGCAGAGTAGGATTTTGTGCACAGATCCCGTTGTGATCCAGTCATTTGACGGAACGCGGGGCCTAAATCCCCGGTGAAGTGGAACTATGGGACGAGATGGTTTGGACGCATCATGAAATGGTTTGGTTCTTCATACTGACCTGTGCCTGTTCGAGGAAAACACTGGCACAAATCTTGCACCAGCCCACTCCAAGTAAAGACACCTTTAGCAACAAGATGGTTCAAGCATTTTCGCTGAGGCTGAGGAAGAGGAGTCAAGGCAGAACTTGAAGTTTCCTGGGAATCTGAGCTGTTTTAAGGAGCGCAATGTGGGCTTTTTGGCTGCCTCGGTCTTCTCTGTGGCATATGTGGCAGCTCCCATTCATGTGGCTTGGCAATTGGTGGTGCGGCGCTGCGCCCCGAGAAGAGGAAGTACAGCTGAGAGTACTCTGCTTTTCACCTGGAAAAAAGGGGATCCACGCAAAGCCAACCAAATGAGCGCTCAAGGTACATACATGACTTCGTCCCAAACGAAGGCCGTCGAATGAGGTCTTCCTGGCCCTCGGCGTGACGGTGCGACATCCCTTTTGGTGGGGAGCGTGGCTGATGAACTTGCCGCAACGCGGCAGCAAGCTGAAGCGGGCCCCCCAAGCCACCCGCTCGGTGGGGCCAGGAGGGATGTTTTGGGTTGGAGCAGCTGATGCAGATGCATCAGCAATGCATCAGCAACTGGACCTCAAAATCTTAGTGGCCTGACATTTCGAGCCTGAAGGAAAGCGCATCGCGTGTTGGACGCTTTGTCTCAATAGAATGCCACGTGCGCAGGACGGCGCAGGGATTTGACTCCGTGGGTTTCGGACTCAGGATTTTGGTGTCGTTCATGCTGCCCTCCCGCCTGGTGGAGCGCTTCTCCAATCCTCTCTTTTGCTCTTGGCCGATGCGGCAGCGCCTGGGACCATGGTCGAATCGCCTCAAGGTGAAAATAAATGATAGGAAACTTGTTTCTAATAGCAAACATTGTTCCTAGTAGCGATGCCCTTGTTACTAGTAGCGATGCCCTTGTTACTAGTAGCGATGCACTTGTTGCTAATAGCTTCTTGTTACTAATGATAGGAATGGTCGACATGCGCCCGGCGCGGAAACTGGGGAGGGTCTGGTCGATGCAGGTCGTCTATGGTGGGTTGGTCGACATGATGTCGGCTTGGCCGTCGAGGGTTGGCCGCTTCGGTGACGACGAGAGTACCGTCGCACCGTTGCTCCTTGAGGATCCCCAAGTACTTTGAGTACGAGGAGTACCATGAGACAACTGACAGCCACTCGGTGAACGAGGCACTGCATGGCAGTGCATGGTTGATTTTTGTAGAATGAAACATCATGAAACATCGATATCTCCTCCTTAGCGGCTAAGAGACGGTCTGACTTTGTAGAGTTCAAGTTGTGCTGCTGTGAGATTATGTTTTGTGACTACAAGACCAGTCACCCAAAGTGATAAAGACTCGAACTACGAGAACCAAGAGATATGTATAGCAAACATTTGGGGTTTCTAGACTTTATCATGTGATTTGGAGAATTTCTTGCATGTTCCTGATGGGACACAACCTAACCTAACTCTCCTAGGCCCAGCTCTTTTTCGTGGGTCTAGGTATCCTGAGGCTAGGTCGGTGGGAGCTACAATCCCATTCAGCCTTTGTGATGCTGACGAAGGTCGCCTCCACAACGAAGGGTCAGTTTTTAAGCTCCACACGGTCACCTCCGTCGACCTCTCCAACCGGAGTGGTCGTTGGCGTCAGGTGAGCTTCGTTCGACGGGGAAGAACTATCTGGTCGGAGCCCATCCGCACGGAGTCTTCTCCTTCGCAGGCGTTTGTGCAGCAGCTTCTTGGTGTAGCAGCTGATGGTTTTCACCGCCGAAGTGGTGGCCACAAGTGAAGTTGACCCAGATGGAAAACGCATCACAAAACAAGGATACCAACATGAATCCCACAACAATCGCACAGGCTCACACGCGTAACTATTGACAGCAACCAACCCTATGAACCATACAAGCAGTTCGAATGTACTTTTTTTCACTGAATTTGAACTCTACTTAAAAAATCGGTGCACTGACCCTATTTCATGTTGCATTTTGCCTCCCCCTGGTTCGAAGAAAGGTCACAATTCAATGTCCGGGCAGAAGCACCCATTGAGTTCAGTGCTGTCAACCCTGAAGTATGACACATTTGATGTGCCGCATGAGACCAATTGTCTACTCGAAGTCATTTTGTTGGGGGGACTCACCTGAGAGTGAGGCCCAAACACACTTTTTTAGACGCGTCAGGCCATCAGGCTCAAAAACGCTGAACTGGTGAGTGTTTCTGTTTCTTTTCTTTCAGATGATCGACTGCGGATAGACCGCAAAAAACGAACCACGCGGCTTAGTACTGTAATCCTTAGTTGACTCAGCAGTTCTCAGGTTGCATGTTGATCTCGGTGTAATTGCTTTGTGTCTTGAACGGGAAATCTTGGATCCAAAATTTGCTCAGCCATTGATTGCCAAAAGGTTGCCACTCACTCATCTCCAGATGGCTTTGGGGCTGCGCTGCCGGAGGAGAGACCGACCTATAATTTTCAAGGATTTTCTGCTTTGTGATCCCTTGCTGTGGGATAGCCCGGCTGTTTGATCGAGTCGGATCTGTGCTTGGAAGGCATCGACACAAATCAAGCTACGAGACTTGTCTTCAGAACACAGTGATGATCAATGATGTAGTCTCTTCATGAATAACTGAATAACCCCCCCAATACGAAGAGGTTCTACATCCGAACTTTCGGGGGTCTTATTAATCAAGAGTCTACAATCGGGTTTGGAAGATGCTTGTTTGGGCGAGCTGAGGTGGAGGACACGACCGGACGGACTGCTGGAACGGACGTGAACAGACACCCCGTTTGAAAGACTCTTTCGGTGTTCCAAGGGGCCCCCCGACTTACCTTCCATGTGAGTCAGAGTGAATGAGTTTCGCATCACTAGGATCAACAGACTTTGACATGCACACTTGTGGATATTTGTGGACCTGATCTGGCTGATGATCCGGACTGATGCAGGAGGCTCCGACAGCAGCTGCTTCCGTGGTAAAGCTTTTCCCCATCTTGAAAGACGTGCTGGCGGTCTTTGGATTGATTGCATCCCGTCCCCCCAAATCTGCGGATCTGCTTTTTTAGTGGTGAGCTTGCGTATGCAGCTGTTAAACATCGACCTGATGTTAACAAGTAAACTCGAAACACTTAGATGGTTTGATAGACTTGTTCCAGGATGACACTCCAGTGCCGTCGATCTCACTGCATCAAACCATTGGAATCACTCACCATGCACCTGAATAGGCTTTGTTTTGCTGGCGAATAGAAATGCAAACAACTTGATGATCTAGCAAACTGAAGCTCTCTGTGCGTGCGCTTAAAGCTTCCTCCATTTGGTATATTTTGAGTTGCTATAGTTGTGGCAGCACTAGAGGGTTCAGCAGCACCAAGGATGCCAGCAGCTCCACACTTTCAAAGAGATTGTCGCGCCCAAGAGGTTGGAAACATTGGGAAAAACGAGCAGGTTTTCGGTTGTGTCTCCTTTTTTGGGGTTTCCGCGCGAGAAAGAAACTCCCAAGTCAATGCCACAGGCTCTTTGGTGCTGTACATTGGTGGCATGATTGAGCTCTTCTACTCCAGCCCAAAGAAGGAAGTCGTCTTCTTGAAGCAGCGGAAGGGGCCAGGTTCCCAGTGGTGGACATGCGGGAGGATTTTCAGGATGCTGCGCACGTGCACTTGCCTATAGTTCTGTGCTTCTCTCGCTTTCAACTCATTGGATGCACTGAGTTTTCATTGGATGCACTGAGTTTTCAACCCAACAAGGAGCGCCTTATTGCCGAGATTTGCCGAGGTTCATCAAGCTGGCGTTGCGTGCGGGAGCAGATGTTGTGCCTGTGTACATGTTTGGGCTGCTCGTCAGAGGTTGGAGATTTCAGTCCTTCAGTTGACGGGTATACCTGGCGTCGGGAAACGTTGCGCCGCTTCCCACCACCATGGTGAGAGGCCCAGGGGTCACTACCAGGAGGGCTTTCTCAAAGAGCTCAGGAACACCACAGTGCTCTCAGTCTTAGCTTGGGGCCCTTTAGCCTCCTTGAGCCGCTCGCTGGGGATGTCCGCCACTTGGATCTGAGCTGGTCAGCTTCTGGTTTGGAGAGATGAGGGCCCACTCAAAGAGATTCTTTGAGGTTTTCATAGTTTTTCATGATTTTTCTAAACTCTGGAATGCCAGGACAATCTTCCTTCGCCGCATCGCCAACTCTTCTTTGCTGTTTGCCCGTTCAAATGTACACTAGACAAAAGAAAGACGGCATGCTTGAGCTATATAAGTGTGGAGACTACCTCCGCGCCGTTCAGGTGACCTTGTTCTGGGGACGATTTGGATTGCCCATGCCAAAGCCTGTGCAGCTCGGCCAATATATTGGGAGTGGCATCCTTTGGTTCTTTTGCACTCATGAAGACATGGAAAGACATGGAGAGACCGGATCCACTTGGGCACGAGTGCTTTTGTTTCATTCCCAGTGGTCCTTACGTGGTCCGGGAAGACCTGGCAGGCGCCTGACCTACGTTCGGGGCAGACCGCTGGGAATGCCACACATCGAAAATCCAAGTCCTGCTACCTGACAGGAAACGCTGGGAGAGGGGCGATTGAACAGTTTCGTTAGGCCATTCTTTCCAGAGTGACTCAGATTTTGTGATGCATTCAAGCCAGGTTTTCTGGATAAGGGAGGGGGAGCTAGTTTGCTTCACTGATTTGGAATTCATGTGACTCTGAAGTTTCTTTATTCCGGAGCGCCTGAGCGAAGGGTTCTTCGTAAAAGAACAGGAGCAAAAACATGAGCATTACACATCCGCACACATCCAGATATGCACATCTTCACATCTGCACATTTTTACACCTGCAGAAATCCAGACGTGCACATCTTCACATCTGCATATCTCCCTCTCTCTCTCTCTCTTTCTCTCGCTCTCTCTCTCTCTCTCATTCGCTCTCTTCTCCCTCTGCTTTCTTTTCGTAAGTATTATCTTTCTCTCTTAGGCATAGGTCAGAGGATCGCTTCAATGAGATCAATGAGAACCTGCCCGTATATGGAGCCAGCGCGCATCGATGCTCAGCATTGCCCAACCAAGCACCGCGATGAGTTGCACACACTCAGCGCTGATCCGGTGAACTGCGCACAAACTGTGCACAAACCTGCGTAAGCATCGACTGTCAGACTGTCAGACCTATTCGGTGCAGGGCCTGAACCCACACATTTAAAGTCATTTTAATGGTAAACATAGACATCAACCTGCACACATACAGGTTGTAGGATTTCTTCGGGGCAGGACTGAGTCCATACATTTATAATCCTTGACATAACCTGCAAAAACATGGACTGAAAGACCTCCTCGGGGCAGGACCTGAATCCTCACATTTTATGGTGAAGCTGCGCATAAGCTTGTGTAAAGATCGATTGTACGACTTCTTCGGGGCAAGGCTTGAATCCGACATTTTACTCTAAAGCTGCACTTCCTTTGAACATGTTTTTTCATCCCACCTTTTCTGACACTCTCTTTCACTTTCTATTACACCCTCTCCCACGTTTGCTTTACCAGTTCATCATCATGCAAGCATGCCACACCTAAGCGCTCTCGGGCCATCCGTCGTCTTTATATCTTGGGTGGGTAGCCAATTTTGCGTTCTTACACATGTATTCCCCCACAGACGTTGGCATCCCCCTGTTTGGAATCATGTGGTGGCGCTAAAGGGTTGAACCCTGTTTTGAAATGGGTAGCGAACGTTTACAGTGACCCTGGAACGGGATTTAAAAGCGGAAACTTAAGTCACTTGGGTCTTTGTATGGCATGGAATGTACGAACATGTGTTACCACGCCCTTGTAAAACCAAATATGTCAACGATCCTGGGTACGCCAGGCGTAGCCTGCACCTTTGGCTGAGGAAGACATCGAGAAGTGGCATGCCACGTACTGTGAAAAGCTTACAGAACTCTTCGAGAGCTACAAGGGACGAAACCCAGACTACAAGCACAAGGATTTGATCATCAAATGAGTTTTTGCTCCCTCTGGTGGCCAAAAGTGGTCCTCAGAGTCTTAAATCGCTCAGACGGTTCTGACTCTCGTCTGCGCGAATCGCTTGCGCAAGACGCCGAGTTTTGAACCATTTCCCCTCTGTCTCTGCCCAAACAACGGGCCGCATGGATGCGTGATGCGTTTTCGACCGTCGATGGGAGGCACTGAACTTGATCAAACGACAAATTGTATTTCCTCACGACTGGAAGACAGGTCAGCACATCCAGGGAAAATATACACCTTCAGCGGATCAACTCAGTGCGAGTTGATCGGCCATTTCAATCGTTTCGGTGCTGAAAAGGGCAGGACAAAAAGGCGTGGTTTCTTAGTTCCACCAGCATTGTTTTAAGATACTTTTGTCCACATAAAGTCTCCAAGAAAGTAATGCTGCCAAATGCCAGTCAAAGCTCAGGGTGGTGAAAAGAGGTTCTCAGAAGTTGGGGCATTGTTCCCATCTTCCGCTGAGGATCTCTGTAAAGTCATCTCAGGCTGCAACACCATTGATTTTTCAAGTTTGTATTCTGCAGCACTTCTTCACAGGCGATCCTGAAAAAGGCCTTTGCAGCAATGCGGCAGACTTGGCGACAGAGCCGCGCTCGACGATTGGCCGTGCTTCAGGCGCTTCTTCAGCTGTGTTTTGGAGAAGGTTGGATTGAGGTTTGGCACATCCGGAGATTTTGCACATTTGGAAGGTAGTTGTGAGTTTTCAAAACCACACCTCACTTGGGGCCTGGCCCCTGCAAAGTTGACTATAGCTTGTTGCGAGTTTTTGTCGTGGGCCCTGGGAGCTGCTCTGGTCGTCCGTTCGACATCTTTCGACGCTTTGGTGACGAGGTCATGGATCAGTGGTTGGAGGAGCGGCTCTGGCAAGAAGTGCTGAGATCTCTTCGATTTTGGAGGCTGGAACATCACAGCAACTCACTTTTGGAGGCTGGAACCTCCGTTGGCAAGACCGAACAAGACAGACCCCAACTGGGGTGGTTAGTTGGACGAGTTGTAGCATTTATGTGAATCGAAAAAACGCAGATTGGTTCATGGTTCAAACGACCGTCTATTGATTTGCTACTAGTTACTAGTATATAATGGCCTCCAACCTACTATAGCGATGGCCAACCTGATTTGCTGTTCCAGTCTGCCCGTCGAAACGGCGGAGCCCCACGAGGTCTCGGGCCGCAGCGGGTGCCCTCCGCCGCCGTGGCCCGGGAGCCCCGGAGCGGAGAGTGGAAAACCGGGCGTGGCATACCTGTGGCCATGGCACGGCTATGGGTTCGAGATGTGGAGTACCCTGCTAGACCCCATCGTTTATCCCTGATTGAAAGAAACGTCAAATGATTGTGCAGTGACAACTTTGATTGCGCAGGTGGCATTGCTCTGAAACGCTTCTTCGACGCAAGCTGCTCTCCTGTCCTGCTTGCAGTTGAAGCCATGTTTGGGAAGTTCTCACATGTACAACTCAAACTGATGGGGAACGCAGCACTGTTGAGCAATACAATATATATATATATATTTAATCACCCTTGCTAGTACCAGAATGATTTTACATGGATGATTTATTGTTGTAATCAACAGTCTACATGACTGGTGCGACATTTTGCACGCCGCAGCGGGCCGTATCCGCGGAGAAACCCGATGGACAGGTGTCAGACGATGGCTAAGCATTTGGATGTCCAATGCTGTCTGGGTGAAGAGGCATGGAGCACTTGGGAGATGAGACAAACCTGGTTGGGAACAACGGACTTGCAAGCTGCTTGGAAAAAGTGCCCAAAGGGCCACTAGAGTTGCTAGAGTCACTAGACCATCCAAGATGTTGGACACTTCATGTGGCACGTGGCAGCAGGGCCTAAGTGAAGCTTTCTTGCGATCAAGCTGAGGTTGGCTCAGGCGGATGTGACCGCGCCGAGTGACCATTCATGCCCCACTTCGGACGTCACGATGTGCCCATGTACCATGGGTTTGACCGTCGCACGCAGCAGAGTTTTCACTTGAAGAGCTTCAATTCAGCCACAGACAAAGCGAAGCATGCACCGGAATGCACGGCATACTAACTATGCCACAGATGAAATGACGTTCCCCAAAGGATAGCCCAGCTTCTTCCCCAATCCTGGTGCTGTGAGTGCTTGCCATCTCCATCTTTTCATCTCCCCCATGGCGCCATGGCCTTGCGACTGGCCCGAGTCTATGACTGGGAACCGGGAGATGGCGAGGTGACCTTCGATGAAGTCCATCATAGGACCGGGCCGAACCGGGTGATGCGCGTGCGTTTCTCCGTGCGTTTGCAACGTCACGCGATGCGTAGGCGACATAAGACGGTCGGGAGTGGATCACATTGGAATACATGGTGCAAGCTTGAGTCTTATTTTTTGACACACATGAAATCAACGATTTTGTCATAGTCCTTAGCAGCATAGGCATACACAATGCTACGTCAGACGAACCAAGGTGAGGTTGAGGTTTGACAAACCAAGGGCCTTTGAACGAGATTCTATCTCACAAACTAGTTTGAATGGTGCTTTCGGATTTTCCATGGAGCAAGCTCAGGATCATCCATCTCAAGTCGGGCGGATTTCAGACGGTGAATGTCATCGATGGAGACGAATCAGCAGCCACAGATGGCCTGTCTGTGCAGTTGGATCAGGCTTCACCAAGGGTTGTGTAGCTATACTTGCCACAACACCTCACAGCTGAAAAACATCTACTCTAAGACACAGCCAGCTGCCTGCCCCGTAAAACAGACACATGCCAAGAACCCGTGATTAAGACATGAACTAGACTGCTCCGCTTCCTGGTTGCTTCTTGGTTTCTTAATATCACACCTCTTTGGCTCATTCCTCACGTGCAGGAGGGCCTGCGGTCCCTGAGATTCTCCCCAGACGGGCTCTTCATCGCCTTCCTCTGCGGCCGTCGATTGGGATCGGTGCAGACCATGCAGTCCAGGACTAAGGATGGCTAAGGCATGAGGTATTTCTTTTTTCGGCAATGGGTGCAGCATGGTGGGATCCCAATCGGTATGAAACTCTCAGCTTATTGCAGTAGTTAGATCAGATCAAGGCTTCACCCGGATGCCTGAGGAGCAAATATCCCACACCTCAAGTCTGGAGTCTTCGTTTCACGCCCCAGTGAGGCCAAAGCAAGTTCTTTGGCCTACATGCAAGTGGAGTAGCAAGGCAGGAGCATAGGATAGGCTTGAGATGGCTTGAGATGCAATTGCATTTTTGGACACAAGTCTAAACTCATTTGGTGCTATCATCCTTCATCATCGTTGAGAAGAGCAACAGAGTAATCTGCTATTAGCCTTTGAAGCCTTCATTCGCCACACACCTGGAGACCACGCCATTTCCCGAACCAGTTTCAGGGGAAGACTTCCACCAAACGAGATGCCGCTCTGAGACAGGCACCGGCCCAAACGGGCTCCGTTTGGAGTGGGACAGGACTGTCCCCCTGTTCTTCGACCGGTCCCAGGCGGACTTCGAAGTCTTGGGCTATTTCTGGTTGCCGGGTGGGCCGCGCCTTGCACCGGTGCCGTTTTCCGTTTCGTGCTTTTTCGGGGCCTGGTCTGAGCGTGGTTTTGGGGAGCGGAAGCGTTGGGCTGGGCCGGTGCCACGATGGGGGAAAACAAAAGACTTCTAAGTTCGAAAAGCCAATTTGCATTGAGGCAAGATTGCAACTCCGATTTGGCGTTGGTGAGCACTCAGGGCATTGAAATCTTCCGGCTGAACTTCGAGCAGAAGACCTGCAAGTCTTTGAAGACCTTTCCAACAGCGGTGCGTATTTGTTGGTTGGATCCCACCGCCAGCACCGTTCTGCTTTGCACAGGGACCAGGACACTGCAGCCCTTCGACTTCCGCCGGCGAAATCCCAAGCTCCCGCGCTTCGATTTGGTCGCTGAGTTCGATTTGGGTGGTCGTTCTTTTTTTACTTGTGTTTTCATGGTCATGCCGCTACCAGTGTTTACAGTATTTATTTCATTTTTAAAACCCCTGCGAACAGCGGGTCATGCCAATGTGGGGGACTCCTGGGGCTGGGGGTTTGACTGAAGCAGCCCGTTTTTTTCATTGGTCCTCCCAGGTCTTGACACGCGGTCAGTCGATTGAGCCCTCAGATGTGGCCCTGGTGACGATCTATGACTCCAGCTATTGCATTCATGCTGATGGGTTGACTGGCTGCTTGGAGAACAGATGATATTTGGAGAGGGTTTCGGCGGAGAGAAAAAGGGCCGTGGATATGTCACTTCCGATTAAACGCCAAGAGACATTGGGACAACAAGTAAGCGCTGAGAGCCAGATATTTGACCGCAGATGCGTGTCAAGACTAAAGAACGACTTACTACTTGTAGTAGAAGCCTAGGCATGGCAAACTGCATTAAACCATTCAATGACGCATGTTGGAAACTTGGATGTGCTGCATCAAATTGACATCATGGTAGGGACCTATATTCCAGAGATCCTCTCCCTCATCATGCAGTGTACAGTGGAGTCCATTGAGTGGCATGCCATGCATAGCACTGGGTCCGCTAGGTCCCCACGAGACCCCACAACACCCAGAGACAGCACCGAAGGCCGCAGACGGCCGGCCGCTCCCGAGGAAAGGTGTCCCTTCGAAATGTCACCAATCTGGAGCAGGGCACGCCGGAGCATGACATCGTCATTGATGTCTCAGAGAACGACACACCCGTGGGCCCCCTACGGCTCTCGGTGGTGGATAATCTGCTCATCGTACATTGCTTGGAGAGGACGTGACCCATGGGTGTGACCCATGGGTGTGACGCATGCTTTTTTGTTTCTATTCGAAGGCGCCATGCACATGAGTCCTCTTTGCCATCCTGTGAAAGCAAAGCAGTGTCAGAGTTGGGCCAGAATTGCAGAACTTGATTATGTTGACAGTTTCAATCGTCAGAGCTTGTGGTTGAGTGTGGTAATGGTTTCCCGAACATGGCAGGATGTTGGCCGTTGTCTTTGACATTCGCCACAAGGAGCGTGACATCGTTCCGAGCTTGATTACACCCAGTGCAGTGGTTTCCAAAGATGAAACATGCACTGGTAGTGAATCTGCATGGATCTCATGGGATTACTTGGATGGGGGCATCGTGCTCGATGCAGCCAGAGGCGTTGTGCATCAACTCTGTATTGACGCAGGTGCAATGTTAGAAGACTTTCTGTCTCGACCGCCTCATGAACTTTCAACTGTTTTGAAGCTGCTTCTGCGAAGATCAGGATGCAGGGATCACATTGTGCAACTGATGCGAAAAGCCCTGACATCAAAGACCAACTCAGTTGAACTGTCTCAGGGCTTTCAAGTGCTCAATTCAGCGTATCGACGCGTCATCGAAGAACTCTCCCAGAAATCGGGCACGCGGCAGACCACAGTGTCCCTACAAGAGCTTGAGGCTCAAATCATTGACCAGTCGGTTCTATCTGAAAAAGACATGGTGACATTGGTCTTTCATCCTCACTTCACGAACAGCGAGGGCCTGGAAGCTCCATCTGAAAGCAAGGACAGCTTCTCGCTGGACACTTGGCATATTCCAGAAAGTCTTCAGAAGGAGGAGACCACGTGTGGCCAAGTTGGGAAGACACCCTACATCCTTTCGGTGGTGATCGCCTACTTGCGCAGTCTATTGGGACTTCAAATACTGCCCCACAAGATTCTGCAGTGCTTTGTCTTCGACCTTTGCGTCTATTACAGGCCTGGATTGAACACTCTTTTCGTTTTGGCTTTCTACATGAAGACTGTGAGCAAGCCGAGGTCCGGTGTTGAAAACACGGTAGTTTAGCTGTCTCGTCTGTCACAGGCAAGAGCACCTTCTCCAGCAGCTACTCCACTACCATGCCGGGCACTCAGGTCCTAAATTCTGTGTCAGTCTTCCTGCGGAATTTTCAGGGTCCAGATGCGCGGAATTTGATTGACTCTCATTCAACTAGTCTGCTCTCAACTATTGGTTTGATGTTGATTTTTCTTCTGTGAATTGAAACACAACACACATTTTATGGACTCCAACTTCACATCCACTTCAACCGGCGGTCCTCGCGCCTGTCCAACCGCGCCGGTCCAACCGCTGCGCCGGTCCCTCCGAGGTCTTGTTGGACTCGCCGGAGCTGGCGGTGCGCCTGAAGCAGCTGGCGCGCGGCGTTCCGCCCGCGCGCGGCGTTGCGCCCGCGCGCTGGGCCACTCAAGCGAGCCTGGAGACTCGCCGGGTGTCGTGGGTCGGATCTGGGGCGGAGCAGGTGAAACAGCTGGTGCTGGATGATCTGGATGTATTGGGTCGTGACTCTTCTTTTTTGTAGTGCCGGGTGGGTCGAAAGGTTTCTTTTTTTTCAAGGCGACAACATGGAGAAGTGGATAGAAGAGGTGGAGTCTTTCCTTTAAATTGATGGAGTAAGAGAGGTCCGACCTTCCGGAGTCTGAGACATGGTATTCCATGGCACTGCACTATATAGTGCAAGTAGTAATGTACTATTGAAACTAACATTTATCGAAACCGTGAAACATTTTGTGAGCATCCTGAAGTGGAATGAAGTAGATTTCATCATTCATTTGAGAATGGTGCATGAGCAGGTAGAGTCGGCTGGTAGTCACCCATCAGACGACCTCCGGTTCGGACTTGCCCAGACGTCACCGCCTGAGGACATGGCGCTTCGTGTGCGGGAGTTCTCTGTGGTCGCGGAGATGTTGCTGTTTTCAGGTCAATACCTGGACATTGTGTCGCAAGCTCAGTTCTTCGATTTGCACTTGTTTCGAGGAACACACTGCTTTTCGCATGGCTGTGAAGTATTGCAAGGGAACATCTAGACAGCGCGATCAAACACGTTTGGCTTCAATGCCATCTGTGGCGATCCGCTCACAAAGAGTCACACCTGGAGTCACAGCATCGTGCGACCCAAGGGCCCCTGAAACCTGTTTGGTGCGTGTTGGCGAAGCAACATGCCAGGGCGGTGAAACCCCCGCTTTCCACGAGTCGAGCTCCGTGACATGAGGCCCTTCCTGGTGAACCAGAAGGACGTAGACTTCAAGGTCAAGACTTTGCTGGAAGACTTGGAGAAAGACCAGAAGGCGAACAGCGAAGATCCCGAGCTGATGCAGCACGTGCCTTGACTGGAGAAGAGTGGAATAGAGACCTGTAGATGCCTCTAGAAGGCTTCGAGGCAGGGAATTCTAGGAGCTCAGTCTCAGTGACTCAGGATGTTTGCAGAGTGTTCTGTAAATATATGTAAATATCAAACAGATCGTGCTCTCGAATCTTCCTGCAATGCGGGCAATCAAGGCTTGTTCTTTTTGTAGAACAGACGTACATAAGAAGAAAGGGGGAACTTACATTTGCTTTATTTGCTAGATCCTTTACCTGCTAGTTCTTTTTTCCGCCTCACACTTGATAGCCTTGACCTGTTTGACTTGGTAAGGTCCTGACGGAGATCCGCTTGTGGAAGCAAGAAGCCGACGTGTCTCCCCGGTCTGCGGGGGAATCGGCCGAACGAGGACCAGCCTTGTTCTGCAGTCGCTTCAGCCGCGAGACGAAGAAGGGTCACCGGTTTCGTCCGGGTTACTTTGTTGCATCATTTTGCTGCAATCCGGGTCACTTCCGTCGTCTTCCATCGATCCATCCATCCACTATCATCTTCCGTGTGGAGTGGTTAGAAGCGTGGTCCATGTTGAAGCATGGAAGCTCTGATTTATGTAACGCCCATCACTACCGTAGCAGGGGCCCTTGCTCTTACCCTCCATCGATTGAAATCTTGATTGGATATTTCATGAAGGTTCCTCTTCATGTATCGGTAATCTGTACAGTGGATCACCCCTGCGGATGTGAAACTTCGATAACCCCCGGTCGGTAGCGACACGGTCGTCGTCTCGGTTGTCGGACGATGCCGCACCCAGTACCTCAGCCGGACCTGAGTGGCTGCGAGAAATGGCTCCCAGATCTGGTCCCCAAGGCCGGGGAGAACTGCGGGAAGAGTGATAGAACTCGAAGAGACCAAAGAACTCGAAGAGACTCGAGAACTCATCAAGCTATCTTAGACTCAAGATGAATTATATAAGATGAGATGATAGAAGACATTGTAAGACTCATGATCCTCACCCAGACTCTTCAGATGATTTGCATCCGATGGTCCGATGGTTCTTCATCGGACCCCTCAAACTCCATTCAGACTGATTACTTTCATCCAGACTGCGAGCTTTCAGGAGCAAACAGGTGAGTTTTAGAATGTATATATCCATGCAAATCATGTTTTTGACATTGTAGATTGCTCTTATTAATAAGATCAGATTGAGGGAATGGGGTGTATAATTGCATTCAACTGTCTGCAGATTGAAGAATCGTATGATTTTGGGAGCCTAGTTGGCCCATTTGGGAAATTGAACGACTGCTCATTCCTGCACAGGAGGTGCCGAAGACCTTCGCATCTTGATACGCGGAAAACATTGATGTGCAGCGCAATGCCAGACATTTTGCCCGAAGTTGATTGGTAGAGATTCTCCCACGAGGCCTACTTATCCCAAGCTGCTACTTTGCAACTGTCCACTTTATCCTCAGCAAGATCCTGTCTGACATACAATCCGCTTTCAAAGTAGGTCTTGTTGCAACCGGCTTCATTCATGGAACCTCTTCTTTTTGCCCCACCATCGACGCCCGGAAGCGCAGAATCTCCGCGGGCCTGGCCAGCCTGGACGGCCGGCGAGAGGCGCGGCTGAGGCGGGACGGTGACGGCGTTGTTTGGGTGTCCTTTGGGAAGGTATCGGACAGAGTATTGGCCAATGGATATGTGCCAAGCAATAGGTATCGGATATCAGACCTACTTGTACCTCCAAGCAGACCTTTTGGCGCATAATTGGTCTTAGGTAGGTCTGTTTGGAGTGACCCCGCTTTCTGTTCCGCAGATGTTGAAGAATGGAACTGGGGGGAAGTGGTGTCGGTGTCGGTAAAGTGTTTACGCTCGCTTGTCTAGAGAGAGAGAGAGAGAGACAAGACACGAAATGAGATCACTGTCGAGATGAGAAGACACATGAAGACTCTGAACTTTGCGAACCATCTCAATGAAAACGCACAAAGAAAACGTGCCCAGCATCCCTCATAAGGCCTGGAAGCCTTTCTCTGCTGGGCCTTTCTCCGCCCAGGACCAACGCCCTGGTCGCTTGGCGCCGTGTGCTTCGCCGAGAGCGTGTGGCCCAGCGGGTGGGGAAGCTCAGCGGCGCCGGGATTCCTTCAGCTCTCATGGGAGTGATGGTGGATGGACGGCATGTACCATATCGTATGACAGCCATCCAGCTAAAAATGAACTTTATATCGTTGTCCTAACATTGTCATATTGCTCGCTTCCCTACCGAAATCTGCCTACAGAAACTCTTCTTGTTGTTATTGGAGTTTGAGAACGTAAATACGACTCATCGCCGGGCCCGAGCCACGGATTCAATAATTGTTCTGGTGTCCCCTTGGAGCACTCACTGGAGGGTGCATAGAGCACTTGCAAGCGAAACTGATGTGGAGCTACGATGTGCGTTGAGTTTGAATTATACAGAACATGGAGAGCTAAAGGTGTTGTGGATGTTCCATTCACTTCCATCACCGATCACAGACGCAGGGCCCCTATCGACCAACCAAGCAGCCTGCTGGGGCTCAAGGTCTCGGATCAGAAGCAGTGCCAGATGGTTCAGAGCGTGCTGAAGCTATGGGCTCGGCCCACAGATCCCTCCTGCAGAAAAGAATATCATGTGTGGTGCCACGTGCTCTCAATGGGGGGGGACCACTAGTTTCAAGGACCCACGAGATTTTTTTTTGGGACTTCCGTCTAAGGCTGAAGGCTTCTGTTTCGGCCCGTTTTGGACGGTCTGGCAGACTGGAGCGATCGATCGCTCTGGTTTCGTTGATCGAAACGGCCAACTCCTCGAGTCCACGCAGAAGGCAGAGGACTTTTGCGTCATCTCATCGAAAGGAAAGGCCAGCAGGAAGTAACTCTTTCAGTTTGATCTCATGAACCAAGATCGAGCTTTATCCATCTGTCTCCCACAAAGCAGCTTTCATATTGTGAAAGCCTCGGAACTCTTGGCTTTCAATGTGGCGCTCCACGTGCTGTCCAGTGAAGGCTTCCATTCTAGAAGATTTGCCGACTAGAATCAAACGGACTATGTTGCCAGAAACCAAAAAAGTTGACTCCTCACTTCAATAACTTCAATCGAAAGCATAGTATCCAAACTTCAAGCCTGGGTTGAATGGGTTTGCTCACAACTGGATTTCATCCAAACCCATTCAAACCTAGGCTCGCGAGCGCCTGCGCCGACCTCCCCGACCCTACGCAGACTGCTCCGCAGACACCCCTTGACCCTTCAGCTTCCCCGGTGCCAAGGCCAATGCCTGGCGCGCCCAACGCTTCCACCAGCTGCGCTGGGCCTCGAAGGCTTGGCGAGGCCGGCGGGCTGGTGGAGCCACCGGGTCATGCTTTATTGCTTGGCATATGTTTAGTGATAGTGGTCGTTTGTGGTCGCGTGGGCTTGGGTGTAGAAAGATGGGATGGTTTGAATTTGAACGTATATATATTCTTTCAAGCGCAGGACGCGACGATTTGAACTTCTGACTTGTTTGAAGCAGACGGCTACGGTTTCAGGTTTAGGAATCGATTTGATAGGGAAAGGACAAGCACAACTCTACTTTGACAAGCTGCTCTTTGTCTTACACTTCGCTTTGGAATAATTTGACATATGTCGATGTCAAGAAGTTGAAAATATTTGGTCGTAGACAGAGCTGACCACGCAACGGATGTCTTTGCAGATCCGAGTTTGGTCGTAGAATCCTCAACCATAGGGGCTCATTGATCAGTGCAGGATCTCACATAGCAACGGTTGGAGATTCCAACAAACTCATTCACTCCACTTGAACGGTTCAGTCTAAGAGAGCTGTTTTCATGCCAGCCAATGAATATGTAGAAAATCTTGGTCCATTCGAAGGGCCTTTGAAGTGGACAATGGAAGCACCTTTGTCCCGTGCTTGCATTTTCAGGTTTTTTCAGCCTCTCCTTTCCTGCTAAGGCTTCCTCCAAGAGCTTCGCCGACAGCAAGCCGGGAAGTGCATCCGTGCGCAAGGCAAAGGGGTTGGGGATTGTGCACTGAAACATCCTACTTGGCTTTTCGTTACGCTAAGGCTATTTGACACTGTAGATCACTTTGGATCGAACGAGAATCAGGCATTTCATTTTATTGAGTATCACATCGCAATCATGTTGTATTGTATTGTATTGTATTATATAATATACATGTGTTATATTTTGCTAGTTATATTGTATTATGTTATATGGTATTGGTTATACTATATTATGTTATCAAAAGCAAGCTGTTGTATAGCCTTGAAACAATACATTTGACCCAGTCGCTACGCAAAAAGGTGGATGCCTTCCATTTACTACGAAGAATTCTGAAATTGACCACTACATTTATAGACAGGCGCAACACAAATACGAGGGTCTATGAACTTGCCTCTGAAGTTGCTTTTCCGAACCAACCTACCAAAAGGATTAAACCTTTTTCTCAAGAGCTAGATGAGAGGCGAGTAAAGTTGGCCGGGCATATTTTGAGAGTGCAAGCCTCCGATCCTCTAAGACAGGTCTCATACCAAGCAGGCAGTGGGGACCCCATCCAGATCGGTAAACGTAGAGTTGGCCATCCTAGACAACAATGGCTGTACAGGACTAATGAAGCCATTCACAACATGATTAGCCACACAGATTATGATGGTGACCCTGTTCAAAATAGTTCTATTTTACGGGCAGCGCAGCAACGTATCGTATGAGTCCTTGGCAAGCGCCAAAGCATCTTTTTGAGTTGCTATGGAGCAACGTGATGCATGGCTAAAGAAACATATTATGTTATACTATACTAGACTATCTTATATTATGTTATACTATTCTATACTATGATGTTGTACTACAGTATAATACTATCAACACATCATATGCTTTTGAACACACGTATATATATATATATGTATTCTGCAAACCACTCTCCAAGTCTGAGGGTCGTCGACTAAGAGACCGATCGCTGTGCACCGACGTTGTGCAACCGTGCAGGTCGAGCCTACCAAGCTCGAGCCGCCGCTTGGTGAACCATCGCAGTGGTGGTCACATCGCGAGAGAGCAAATCGAACCATCACAGGAGGAGGACCATCACAGAGGGTTTCAGGATAAGGTGGATGCGTTTTGGCCCCTACTGCCATTGGGTCAGCAGCAATGCAAGGCCTCAGACGTTTGCTGCGACTGGGCTGAGGCCTTACTTCGCTGGAACGTCGCCATCTCGCGATGCTCCCATGTCTTAGTGCTTCTGTGTTTTCTGGCAGCGAGCAGGAGCTGGGCATAGGGGGGCAGACGTTAATACTCTGAAAATCTGATGAGGAATCGGAGACGTAGATGACACCGCCATGTTTAGGGCCGCCATGTTTCGGTTCATGAACCTCACACTCACCCCAAAATGTTCCTGGGAGAAGCGACCACCCGAACCTCCAACATTGCTGCAAAACATCCAGCATCTGAAGCGACCGCCCGTTGCTCCATTTGGCCAGGCTCCGCCGGCGCGAAGTTCATCTTCGTCAGAGCCTCCGGGTGCCGTCCTGAGAGGAAGGAAGCGCTGAGAGGAAGGAATAGGCGAGAAGGATCGAAAAGGTTGCACAGAAGGAAATGGAAGGCACCCGGAGGCTCTGGAGAATCTGCTGATTCCGAGGTTGGTCTTCAAAGGCTTCAGGAGTGTTTAAGGGTTTTACTGTTTTTTGGAAGGACACATGTATGAGCTTATCCAGTCAAAGTGTTGATCTGAGGTGTGGCACCTTGGCCTCATACTACAAAGATGGCAGAGTCTAAAGGCAGCTACAGCCCTGGAGGCAGATGCCACAGTTCCATTTCGCAGTTATTGGAGATGTTCCGATGATTTTCGCATCTCTACATATCTCTACTACCTTCATTGCGAATGTAGAAATCAGCCTGGAAGTCCAACACATTTGGGAGTTCTTTTTTCCAGACATTTTCCGAGAGAAGATCTCGACTCCGCACAGGCGCCCGTTCCGAATCGGCTCGGCTCGAAGCCGTTCCAGGTCAGACGCCTACAGCGTTCCACCCTTTGCTCTTGGCATGCCACAGCAGGACGGGTTGATGCGAACAGGGACGTCGAGGACAATCCGAATTCGATCCCTTTTGAGCTTCAAGCGGTTTCATGTTTCGAGTGGAGGCTTCAAAATCCATGTTTCGAGTGGAGGCTTCAAAATCCATGTTTCGAGTGGAGGCTTCAACATCCATGTTTCAAGTGGAGGCTCCAAGAAAGCTGGGTCCTCCATGTTTTCGAATCCTCCAGACTGTTTGCTCCTCGGTGCCGACCACCTGCGCACAGTCCCTTAGGGCAGTTGATCACGGAGCGCCGGCAGCGGGAGCTCAAAACCTTGGGCAGGGAGCTCAGAGAAAGAACAGGACGAGCGCGAGGCGTGTGAGGCGTGTCGGTGGGGGAACCTGTGTGTGGTAGCTGGCTGCTGGTAGGTGGGGTGGTTTGGTGTTTGTCCGAGTGGCTCCGAACGACTCGCTGACGCCTCGAGGAACGACAGGTCAAGGCTCTGGTCCTACTCAGTGGCAGAAGAGGCGCGGGTCCACGCGGATGCCGGCACTGGGGGATGCGAAGGGAGACACGGTTCACCGCAACGCGGTGACTTTCACAGGTGAAGGAGCGATCTCCAAGTTGGACCTGCGTAATAAGACATCATAAGACCCGCAGGGGAGTGCGATCCTTGTGGGATCTCTTCAGGCAGCAACGCCGTGCTTCGGGCCAGTGCTGGAAGTACTGGGTGCAGGCCATACATGAAGGAGAGTCAAAGATTTGAGTGTGTCTTCTTTAAATCTTTGTTTCCTTTTGGTTTGGCTTCAAACTCTGTGGACTCTTGCTGAACCTTCCGCACATTTTATAACTCTTATAAGTAATAACTTTGATTAATTTTGTGTGAATCATGTAAAAGCCCTGATTTCACTCTTTGCTTCACCCACTACTGAGCCTGCATTACTGCTGCACTCTCAGAGCCTGACCGAGCTGTACGGCCCTCCCGTCCTCGCCGTCAGGTGGTGGAGCAGAAGAAGCGCCAGAGACGAAGGCTGCAAGAGGCGAAAGGAGAGATACACAAACTCGCCGGGGGACGCAGCAGTCGGATGAGGACTCCGCAGCCAGAGACATTGTGACTGAACTGATGTGAACGGATGCCACTCATGTCGATGAAGTGACAAGGAAGCGGCATAGGTCCTAGGTGTGGAAGACCCCGGCGTCTTGGAGGTTTTGTTCCGTATGCGTGCGCCATAGGTGTGGATCAGAATAAGGATATTCAGCCCCAACAAGAATGAACAGAATCCTCTTTCAGGGATGTTCGCTGACCATACCCAGGAAGTCTTGGGCTGATCCATGCTACATTGCATGGAGTTGATGAAGACAGTGTTGGAAATTGTCCTCGGGGTGACGATAAAAAGTGCTCGGAGCATGAAAGACGAGGCATGTCAGAGAGCCGCATGGACAGCCTACACCTTTTGACAAGTCCAACTGCAGCCCTTGGGTCCTCAGAAGACAAGACACCTCGACCCTGCGCTGGTGTTGACGGCTTCTGTGGACACTGAAAATAGCAATAACATGCTATAACATAGTTTATAAGGTGGTTGAGCTGGTGCACAACCGCACGACCACTTCAGTGAAACTAATCCAGCCTCCTCTTCTTCCTTCAACTCCTACCATCCTGACGCTCTACAAGCTCCTTGGAACAATCTATATGAGAAACACCAAGAACAATCCCGCTTAAATCCTCAAAACAACTTGAAGACATCTTCCCAAGTCCTATCTCTCTGATTGACGAACGAGCTCTGGAGGTCATCACCCAGGCACTCTGGCTCTGGCACCGCCGTGCACGGGACTCCGCGGCGCGTGCGGTCCGGCGCTGAGTGGACCGAGACGGGTTGTTTGGGATGTCCCCGGGGACAACATGGTCAAGTCGCTAAGATTGAAACTATACTTGTGTTGAGTCTGAGTCTGAGGCAGGCTTTGGTGCACAAGATTCATCACATCACCAGCACTGTTTGGATTTTGTACAGAGACTCCGATCTTAACACTTCGCGGATGGTGGACACTGCGACAGTTGGACTTTTAAGAACGCTAAGCAAAGAATGGTGCTATGGAGTCTTTACGTGGGGAGACCATCCGGGACCAACCTTCTTGTGTCCACTCAGACACCTCTGACGATGGACGGACGTTTCCGTGACGGATGGGAAGAGCACCTGACGGCGCCAGGATCAGATTCAGCGGGCTTCCACGGCTCTCGTGGTCTTGAACTTAGAAGATGTTTGCACAGAAGTTCAAGACTACTAGATGCAAGCGGAACAGACAAAGGCATTCCTTTTCAAGGCCCCCTGAAGCTGAAGAATGCACATAGATGCATGCAAAAAGTACTGGAGTGTGTTTTGCTTAGTGCAAGATGTATGAGCGTTCTTCGTCCACAGACATCAATTCTCCATGATCGATCGGTGTTGCTTAGCAAATCTAAAGATCTCCAAACATCTCCAATGTGTTCACACATCGGTTTTTTTGGGAAACAATTTGATTGATCAACAGTAAGTCAAAGACGTGAAATGATTCTTTGGCCTTCAGACGTGAAGGCCGTGATCTCTGCCTCCCGATGGGCCCGGGCTCACGACAGCCTGGTCCATTGGTTCACTCATGCCCGCGCACGCAGGAGCGCACGGTGAGAGAGGAAGAAGGTTGTCCCCCAGTGTTTCGGTGTGTGTCAAAGTCCGAGTTTTTTTGTTGCTAAATGGTTGTGGGAATAGGGACCAGATGATTCTACTTTGCTTCAAGGAACCCTTGATTTTAACAACTCAAGGTCACAAGGTATCACCCCACAACCTGTTTGTTGGGGAGGAAATCCGTCGCTCACGGGCGAGTGGCGCAAAGTCAGATCTTCAAACTCTGGAGACAAAGGCAGGCAGGTTGACCACACCAATGATGGCATTCAGCATCTAGAGGTACATGAGTAGTAGAATGCAGTAGATGACTGCCATGGGATTGGGGTTCATAGAACCATGGGATTGACGCATGCAGTTTTTAACTCATGCATTTCTATACTATACCTCTTCTACAAGAGAATTCGTCCCCGGGGCTCTGGTTGTGAAGGCCCAAGAGCTCACCTGGGCCCGGCCTTTTCCCGCCTTCTCTGCGCCAGGATCAAGTGTCGCGCGACGGATCTCAGTGGCGAGACCCTCCCAAACCTCTCGGTCTCGGTGCGGACCACCCGAGCCGGGCGGAACGCCCCTGGCAGAGTCAGGCAGAGCGAGATGGTCTGTTTTTTTTACTTGGTGCTCTCCCCAAGTGATCAGCCATGACAGCCATGAGTCCTCCTTCAAATTGGTGAAGGTGATAGAAGAAGACCCATTGACTTGGTGTTGAGATGACTGAACGGTTTGCTCCGCCCACATGGCCAAACCTCGCAATTGCAGATTTCCAGGTGAGCTTTTTTGGTTTCCCATGTGTATATATTCTTATTATGATTATCATTAATTATTACTGTTATTAATTAGTATAAGTATTACAATTCTTATTAGTTTCATTACTGTTATATATTACTATTATTGTTACATTATTGTTATTGGTCATTTGTTTTCAGTAAGGTGGGTTTGGAACAAACGGGGCACTTCACTGACATATGTCGAGCTCGAATTGTTTGTTTACATTTGGAACGAGCGTTCGACGCCATTTTGGCGAAAAGCCTTCTCGAGCACCGCCAGGTCGAGAAGTTAGATCGGTTTCGGTTTCAGGGCCCGGGCGCGTACTAGTTCATGGCTACTCAGGCTAGCGGCGCGCCCGCCCGGCACCTGGAGAAAGGCTGACTCTGAGCCAAGAAGAAGCTACCCAATAAGGACGGCAAGAGACAGCAGAGGAGGACAAGGCCAGGAGTCGCAGGAAGATGAAGCACGAGCTGCACCAGCTCTCCAGACCCTCGGCTGAAGAGGCACCAGCTGCACTGCAAAGCTGCCCCCTGCAGCTCTGCGGAGCCAGGCGGCCAATTCCACTGCACCGGGAAACGACTCCGCTTCAGTGAGCTCATGGTCGCGGGTTGATGAAGATCACTCGACGGGGCTATCGCCAATAGAACTGCTGGCGCTCCTTGACTGCGCTCTCGCGCCGTGCGCACTTTCGGACTTGGAGATCACTTTTCGCAGCAGGCGCAAGCGAAGCCTCGCGTATTGGTGGTCCAAAGTCGCCTTCTCGTGGCAGGCGCAGGAGATCGGAGCCGTTCTATTTCGATGTGCAGACTTCGCGCCACGCTTTGGACATGGTGGTAGGCACGCCCGGATTTTGTGGCAATCATGATATTATAATATATTATAGGTGGCTTCGCACCATACTGTATATACAAGAATGTATACCTGTCATAGATGCGTCATTGCTTTCCAGGAAGTCAGGCCACTCCCCCTTTTTTGGGAAGGAAAGCCGCGATGGACTCTCTGGGCCGACCAAGGGACCGATGCCCCTGGAGACGTGGGACTCGCCCCCCTGCACGTTTGGGGCCAGGCGCGGCAGTGATCGACGAGGGGTCGACTCGAATTCACTCGGGGTGGTTGATGCTTGGGATGAAGCGACCCAAGGAAAAACACATCAACTGTTGGGTCATTGTGTGTTTTGCTGAAGAACATCAACAGTCTGGCTTTGAGGCACAAGGTCACAGGACAACAGGTTCTTGGCGACAAGAAGTGTGTCCGTACCCATCCCTTTCGCCTCCTTCGGACCATCATTTGCAGGAAGGGCAACTGACAACTTGCGTGTAATTACTTGTCATGGTCTCTTTGTGTGGCAGCAATTTTCCTCACGTCCCTGGTCATCGTGAGCCCATGCCAAGAATAAACATCTAAAATTTAGATTTGGCTATATATATAAAATATATATATATATTTCCCCAAACAGGTTTACCTGTGAGGGGTTCTTACTCCTTTTAAAGGGGTGCATGCTCGGGCCGGATGATTTTGAGTTTGTCTCCGGGCTTGTGTTCCTGGCCGCATGATTTCACCCTTGTCTCCCACATGTCTCCTACTTGTCTCCCAGTAAGCTCTGGATGCTCTCAGTGCTCTGGCCGCATGATTTTATACTTGTCTCCCATTTGTCTCCCATTTGTCTCCCACTTGTCTCCCAGTTGTCTCCCAGTAAGCTCTCGATGCTCTCAGTGCTTTGGCCGCATGATTTCAGGCTTGTCTCCCACTTGTCTCCCAGTAAGCTCTGCATGCTCTGAGCTTGGCCGCATGATTTCACACTTGTCTCCCATTTGTCTCCCACTTGTCCCCCAGTAAGCTCTGGATGCTCTGAGTGCTCTGGCCGCATGATTTCACACTTGTCTCCCACTTGTCTCCCAGTAAGCTCTGGATGCTCTAGTGCTTTGGCCGCATGATTTCACACTTGTCTGCCATTTGTCTCCCACTTGTCTCCCAGTAATCTCTGGATGCTCTCAGTGCTCTGGCCTTTTGATTTCATACTTGTCTTCCATTTGTCTCCCATTTGTCTCCCACTTGTCTCCCAGTAAGCTCTGGATGCTCTGAGTGCTCTGGCCGCATGATTTCAGACTTGCCTCCCACTTGTCTCCCAGTAGGCCCTAGATGCTCTAGTGCTCTGGCCGCATGATTTCACACTTGTCTGCCATTTGTCTCCCATTTGTCTCTGAGTGCTCTGGCCGCATGATTTCACACTTGTCTCCCATTTGTCTCCCACTTGTCTCCCAGTAAGCTCTGGATGCTCTGAGTGCTCTGGCCGCATGATTTCACACTTGTCTCCCACTTGTCTCCCAGTAAGCTCTGGATGCTCTGAGT